ACGTAGAGTCGGAACCGATTAAACAACAACAACAAACCAGCAATTAATTATAATGTACTAATAGAGGTCTGGAACAAAAAATTCAAACCAAAACCTCTTGTCTAAACACCACCGTGTAAAGTTTCTTATTGTGATACCCAATGATATCCAGTTATAAACTTTGATTCCATACTTTAAAAATCCTGTTGCAAAAGCCACCTCTCAAATCCCATCAGATCTATAGCAGAGTTTGTGGGTGGTATTCAGCGCAAGCGCAGCTGAGAGTAGCCCCTAGACTGTGGCTGTGAATTGCAGAACTTCCCTCAGTGCGTGGAGAGCATGGGGGTAGGGTGAGCTTAGCAGCTTACCGCTTCCTCATGTGGAGAGAAAAACACCTGACTAGGCCATAAAGCCAGGAACCATTCCATCAGGCTGCAATACTGGGGAGGTGGGAAGCAGAGCCGCACTATCAGTTTGGCTGACAGACCAGCTCCGTTAGGCCCCTGCCTCCCTCAACTGTCTTCTAGAAACAGTCATTGGATCAGGCTGCAGCAGAGGCAGAGTTGAGAAGCAGCCACCCCATCAATTTTACTGAAAGACCAGCTCAGCTCCTCCCTGCACCCCCCCCAACAAAACTATTTCTGTTGCAGCTGCTCATTTTTAAAGGTAACTTTAAGATCTGGTATCTTTCTTTGCTTGTTTTCCATATTGCACTTGCCTTTTTGTGTCATGCCTTTTAAGACAAAGACATATATTATGGTGTGAGCTTTCGCAGACTCAAGCTCACTTTCTCTTTTAAAATTCTGTGCACATTAAGTGTGAAATTGTGGCTCTGAAACAGAATTGATAATAACCCTAGCTTTCAATTTTTTTTTAAAAAAACCATGTTCCTAGTCCTCAAACTTGCAGGTATAATTTGAAAGCACACCAGCAGCATCTGCAAGTGACTGTAGAGCTCTTAGAGTGACATTTCTCTGCCTAATGATTTATTTACAATGAGGCAAGGTGAGATAATTGCTTAGGCTGACAGATTTTGGAGCATTGCTAAGGATGGCAGAGTGGGAGACAGTCAGATCTGAATCATGGACCCTGGTTGGACTAGGTGACCATCGTGGTCCCTTCCAACTCTATAATTTTGATTCTATGATTTACCAGAAGGCTCTCTTGTGTAAGCTCCACTGCAGTGAACTGGACCTGCACATGATCTAATGGAATGTGCACAGGAGAATTTCTAGGTGGATTGTGCCCTATGGAGTGCTATTTCGATATTTTGCCAAATGTTTTGGGTTGGCCTTATGTATGAAGGTCTCCAGTCATGCACTCCTAGAAACTAACATTTTGCTATCACATGCCTCCCTGTCAAAACAATCCAGACTCCATAAAACTCCAATTGAGCAACTTTAAGCAAAATAAGGAGCTGTAAACATGTAGGTTTTTTTGATCATCATGGATTACTTTTAAGTGTAAAAACTTGGTTTCTTCAGCATCAGATTTGATGAAGTTGGTACAGAGACATTATGGCCATTTTCATCTGTTAAACACTGGAAAGTGTTTCATGCAGGCGGACTGAAGCACAGAGATTGTACTACTGTACAGGTGGGTTACAAAGAGAGAAGGGAGCTGTTAATCCCTAACCACCTGGGGATTGCTTAGCAACCACAACACTTGACTTCAGTTCTGTCTTATGCCTTGCTGGGAAAATGGCCTATAGCAGAACAGGATGCTAAGCAGCCAGTTTTTCAGGAGCTCCTGCTGGGATCTGCTATATATGTGACCCATGCTGTCTAAAGAGAAAGATTAGTTTTATGAAATTGTCATTAAAGGACTAGAATACACACAGGATAAGAAACGTTTGAGAATGTTGGTTTATCCATGCGTTACTGCCATCCTCACCAGGCATGTACAGTTTTTAACATTTGCTTTTAATTTAATCTCATGGGAAATCGTGCACTGGTACATGTCTAAGGAAAACACCTAGAAAACTGAATAAGTGTGCGAAAGATCAAAATCCCCTCTGCTTTGTCTCCCCGGAAACTAGCTTAACTGTATGACAGGAGGCCCTGGTTAGTGAGTATTACAAGCAGAATAGCAGAAAAAAGAAAAAAAGCCAGATAAAATGTAAGGGTGGGCATAAAGTCAAGCTCTAAAACACCACACCATAAATGGTGATGGTCAAATATGGAGTTAACTTGGGATTTCACTGTCTATCTTGTTCAGTTTCCAAGGAGAAATAACCTGATCAATGCCAACCCAGTGTTGTTTTGGGGACAATTCCAAAGAAAAATCTCAAGAGAGACCTTACATTATAAATTGAGCTTCATCACACCATCTCACAACATCAAAGTCAATCAGGTCTTTTAAAGAGATTGTAGGACTGGTTGTTTATGTTGAGACAATTTTAAAAGTGGTTTAAAAAGAAGAGTATACAATTTCATGGAGGAAAAGGCTAACAATGGGCACTAGCCACAATAGCTAAGTTCTCTCTCTACATTTGGTAGCAGTATTTTTGGGTTCCTTTGGGTCTTCTCTTGGCAAAGTGTCTATCACTGTACAGAAACAGCAATCATTGTGTCATGGCTGGACATCAACTTAAGTAGCAACTATGGAAACTAACGTTATTTTCCATAGCCCTTCTCCTTGACTACCACTTAACACCACTGTAATATTTTGGAATTTTGAGGTTTCCTTGAAGATGTTGCGGAAATATTTCTGGTATGCATTTATACCCTTGAGACTTGAACAAGACTTGAGACTTAATACATTGAGACTTGAACATACCCCAGACTTTTGGGAAACAAATGGTTAACTAGAACAACAAAGATAAATCAGAAGTACATTTTATCATATGAAGACGAGGGAGTTCACATACTTATATCTGAACAAATGTTAATTGACATAAACCTTAATAAAGAGCATGCTAACAATAGGCTAATTTTATTAATTTAAAGCTAAGCAGGCAAGCTACCAGTTCTACAAGCACACATGAAATGTTATAATGTAGTATAATTAGGGAAAGATGGGGCAGGGAAGGATGTTGTGAACTGGAATATTTGGCTGAAGAGAGGAAGGTAGTATCAGAAGGCAAATGGTGATATGCCTCCAGAAAGTTCTGGGCTGGGTGGCATCCATTGCCATCTTGTAAAAGACACTTCAGTTTGTTTGGATATATTTGTGCTTGCCCAAAGCATATTTTGGGGTGGGCACCACCAGTTCCTTTTTGGGGGTACATATTCTGGCTATAATTGGTGTGTACAGATGCCCTTGTTTGTAGCATGTGCTCACACTGAACTCTGGGCTAGAAGGCACTCTCCCATTTCTGGAGTATATGCTGTCTCGAAGCATATTCTGGGGTGGACACCCAGAGTTGCTTATTTTTTTCAACGTATATCGGGCGATTGCTGGTTTGCTTCAACATCCTTAACTCTGCCATGATGTGCCCACAGAAAGCTCTGGGCTGAGCAGGACCCACAAGCGTCTCTTAGAGGATAGTTTCCTGTTTGCTTTTGTGTATGAGTTGTGCTTGCCCAAAGCCTATTTTGTGATGGGTACTGCCAGTTACTTATCCCCCCCCCCAATATACTTTAGCTATTGTTGGTGTGCCTAGGTGCCCTTGTCCATGGTATGCAGCCATAGGAAGCTCTGTGCTGAGCAGCATCCATTGCCATCTTGTAGTAGAGGACACTCTCCCATTTGCTTAAGTGTGTGGCTAGTGCTGTCCCAAAGAATATTTTTGGGGTGGGCACCTTCAGTTACCGTACTTATATTTATATATTGGCGACTGTTGCCTTGCTTTGATACACTTGACCGTCTCCCGTGTCCACAAGAATCTCAGGGCTCAGCAGGATCCATTGGCACCTTGGAGAGGACGATCCATTCATTTGCTTGTGCTTGCCTAAAGCATATTTTGGGGTGGGCACCCCCAGTTACTTATTTTATGGTGTTCTACCATCATGTATTGATGAGCATTTTGAAAGCATCATTTTGAATGAGTAACATTAACTGATCATGTACATATACGGGGTGGCCCAATGTTTATTTTGGGGATCAGGGCATATAAACTAGGAATACTTATGAACTTCCCTTGTGACAGAGGTCAGATTATACGTGTTGCAAAAGAGACTCCTGCTACGTGTACGTGTGTGTGCAGGCAATTCCCCTTCCCCTCCCTAGTTTGGCACTACAGAAATACTGGGCTGGCGGATTCATTGGAGGAACCTAGTTGTGCTGACGTTCCTGCAACGCCGAAGCACCTGCGTGCGCTCGTGTAACCACTTATCGTGGGAATTGTCTCAAGCGCTCTTGCCGTTTGCGTGTGCCGAAATTTCCCTTTCCTTCCTAACGAGGATTTCACGCCGAAAACCTGCGTAAGCGACAGGTGTTTCTGGAAGCTTCAGGAACACCAGCGAGGCGTGTAGGAGCCCAGCTCCAAACCACGTCCGCGTCTCGTGGATGTTTCGAGAACGGCTTGCAAGCAACCGGCAATGGGGGGCGTGGGATATACGGCGTTACGTCGCAGAGGCGGCTTTCACGTGTAGGGCCAGAGCTTTGCCGCTGACTTCCCCTCAAGGGGGGGGGAGAGGAGCGCACGAGGAAGGGAGGCGGGACCGAGTGGAAATTTCCACTCCCTGCAGTAGCAGCCGCGGCTACGGGGGGAAGGGCGGGACCGGCGGCGCTGCAGGGATGGCGAGGGAGGCGGCGCCTGGAGGTCGCCAAGCGCGCTTCATTCAGCTCGACCTTCAGGACTCTCTCGCTTAGGATAAAAGCGCCGCCCTGCCTTCTTCCCGGCGCAATTGGGAGAGCTCCGTGTCCGAAGGAGCCCCATTCATTCAGCCCGGGAAGAGCGGAGCGGCGAGGGAGGGGGCGCCTGACGCCATCGAAGGGGGGCGGTGTCGCCGCGGGAGCGCGCGCAGACCGGCCCCTTTTAAAAGCGCCCCGCGCGCCTCGCGCCTCCTAGTCGGCACAGCGCGGGACCAGCGGCGTGTCTGAGCGGCACTTGCACGGCCCTACGCCGGCGCTCTGCTTCGCCCCTTCCGCCAGCCGCCCCACCTACTTCACCACCTCTTCTGCCAAAGATGCCTCGCTATGAGCTGGCTTTGATCCTAAAAGCCATGCAGAGGGTGAGTATCTGTGTGTGTGTCCGTAGCAGGGGCGCTGCGCCCTCGCCCTTCCTGGCTGCCCTTCTCGCGTCCCTCCGTCGCAGCTGCTCTCTGAGCTTCCCGCGCCTGCCGGGCTTCCATTTCCCGGCCGGGCCTCCCCTTCCCCTTCCGCCAGCCCTGTGCGTCCGCCCTTCCTCTCGTCCCCTCGGCGCGGAAAGAACACGCTTCTTCCACTTCGTTCCCTTTTCACACGTGCTCGGGCGCTGTGGTGGTGCTGGTGGAACAAGGGCTCCCTTAAGGAAAACGTGGGGTTGGCGCTTGCCCCCTTACGCTACAACGCTTTGCTCTCCCCGACCCCCAGCGCACGTGTACTTCCACTCGCCAACAAAAAATAAAAAAGGGGGCAGGGGAGAGAAAGTGTCAATAGAATTGGTTGCTCTAGTTTAAAAGGAAAAATCTTCGAGGGGGCGGGTGTTCAGGAAGCACGGGCTGCATTGGGTCTAGCGAGCCACATGCGAGGTTTTCCTTTTTCACCCAGACGTGGCGCGGCGGCCTCGTGTCGTTCCTTGGCAACGTTTTGTGGTCGCTGCCCAAACACCCCAGTTCATTTTCGCACATTTGGCGAAGGGGCTCTGTACTAGTTACCGGGGTGCATTATTGCCGGGCGTCGTTTAAGATTCCCTTCCCCTCTTAAATTTCCAGTATGTACGGAAGCATGAATTAATTCCGTACATCTGTACCGGGGACTGCCTATAGCGAAGAACTTGTTTTGAATATTTGCCGCCATCGTAACTCGCTGAGCTTCCGGGATGCTGGCGGCGTTGTACAGTAGAGTAGACCGCCTGCTGGGTTGGTTTCTTTATTGTCAAATAAGCAGTGTAAATGGTGGTCTGTTAAAAAGCCGCTGGTCGGTGCTGCTGGCTGTAATAGCCCCAGCATAGGGCCCCTTACATGGAAGCCAACTCCTAGGGGGCCGAGGTCCCTCCACGTGCCCCATAAGATAATTTGAGGTGGAGCCCCCACAAGTCGATAGGCATTGTCATTCAAACACTGCGTTGCACCGCATCATGTGATCAGCTATGTGGGGCAGGGCTTACCCCCCCCCATATTTTATTCAAGCTGGTACCCCTCAGAGCACCTGCTTTTCATGCTGAAGGTGCCAGGTTTAATCCCCAGCAGCTCCAGCTGAGAAAATTGCCTGCTTGAAAGACTGCAGGAACTGAGGTAAGACTGGACTAGTGGTCTGACTCTGTATAAGGCAGATCTCTAGGCAGATGAAAACTATCTCAAGGTGTGTGACATAATATTCCGCAAAAAAATGTAGACTAGTGTACATATGTGACAAGTAAGTTCCTGCCCATTTTCTCAGTTTAATCAATTTCACAAATACAGGGATTATTGTGCAGTATGTTCTAACAATTATCTGCCAGTGCAAACCTATGCATGCATGCTCAGAAGTGAGTCCTACTGATTTCAGTGAGATTTACATTCTTGGATAAGTTTGTATAGAATTTTAGCCTGAATACAGCAACCTGTAGCTTTGCTTACATAGATTTTCACTTAGTAAAAGTTAGCTGTACAGATTAGAAGATGAAGTATGTGTGTTCTGTGCACAGACTTCTTGAATGTAATTGCCAGGTTTGATTTGGATCTCGGGTTATTTGAAAAATTGTGTGCATTCATAATTTTTGAATTTACTGGAGAGTGTGGGTGCCCAGTTATTTCCATTTGTTTTAGGTCTGACCTCAGTATTTTAGCATAGAACTTCACAGATTGCATATTGAACCTAAGTTTGAGATACGGTCTTGAATACTGTGGCTTTTGTGAACCTCTGATGTTCCTCTTAAGTACAGAGAGATGCTCAGTTGCAGACTGAATCTTGTTTCTCATTCTCAGATGTTAGAGCAACTTTCTAAAATACCTTTCAGAGAGCGTGAGGACAGAAACTGTCTAAACAATCTGCAGTAACCAGCCTTCTGAGCCAACAGTGCATGGGGATCTTTGGATCAGTGTTAGGATAATATTAACTAGAGATGTACAAGGAGACATGGCAGCAGCTTCAGAATAGCACGTTTGGGGTTCTGTGCATGGTCAGGGTTGATGGAAGCACCACATTGGCTACCCTGTAGTAATGACTTGGTTCTGTTCCAATCAGCAGTACAATCTTAAGAGAGAAAGGATGAAAAAGAAGCAAGTATTTTAAGTGGGCCCTTTGATTCATGTTGGGTGTACAGTGTACCTTGAACTTTAAAAGGCTATGAAACCTACTCTTTTTGCAGTAAATCTGTGTTGTAAATCCCAAATGTTCACAGTATTTGCTAGCTAAATAGAATATGGAAATACAACATAGAGAGTAGGCTGCCTTGTGCTCGTAAGCTCAATTTTTCAGTTCTGAACCTATTTTGATGTTGGAAGTAAGAGCCCATTTCATTGGAAGTCACTTCTATATAAAAATTCTGTTTAGTAGGTTTGAGGTGTCTGTCTTAATTGCTGCTCTGTGCATTCACCAGGAGAGGGTGATAAGATATGCTTATTGCTAAAGCTGTCTTCCTAGAAGAGGAGGCTTTTCATTTGACCTCATTCATAATAATCTGGTTCACTCTGCTCCCCATGTTAACTCATCAGCTTTATGAGCAAATATTCTATATAGTTAAATTAACTGATTTTCAAAATAAAGTTAAGCAAACGAATACTTAAATTATTTTGGGATTTTTGAACTATTTTCCTTTTTAATCACTATCAGTTTTCAAAATATGGTAATACAATATAGCAGCTACTTTTTACAAAAATTCCAAGTATATTTTGGTTTCTCATTTTAGTGGAAGAGCACATGTAGTGTGTAGTGGACAGTGTGTTAGCCAGGCTTTGTTACAGAGGTGCAAGTTAATAAAGGAAACAAAAAAAGAAGAAAGGAAAAGACATTAAAGACATGAAGGAAAGGAACAAGAGTGGGGGAAGAACACAAAACATTTTGCTTTACCTCTTGGCATTATGAGTACATGCTGTAATTCCTCAGTCTCCGTGTGAACTAATCTGGGGAAAATAGACTTGTCTTTATTCACCTTGTTTGTTTTGTCCAAGACACAACTATAATTTTCTATTAAAAAAAGGGGGGGGAGTATTTTCTTAGTTGCATTTGGCAAGGCCTCTTTGTATTTTAGGGGTGCCCACTATTATCTATTGGTTGCTTTGAGTCCTTCCATTAGTTGATTGCTTTAAAAATTGACAAATATTGTATTGCCTGTAAAGGTGCTTTGCAGTTGGACTGTCAGACATGTGATTTGCCATGCTTGCTTACCTGCATCAAGTAGTGGTTGATTCCAGATGAGCAGATGAATGTCCAACTACATTCTATCTAGCCATGTAGTAGTACCGTATTTTTCGCTCTATAACACGCAGATTTTTTCTCCTAAAAAGGAAGGGGAAATGTCTGTGCGTGTTATGCAGCGAATGTGTGGTCCCTGGAGCCGAAAAATGAGGCAAAAATCAAACCGCGCTTCACGGAGAAGGGAAACCTGGAAAGAGGAAGTGGTTGCTTTCCTGCATTCTGCCTCAGGGTCTTACTGCCCACCCTGCTCTGTTTCCTTGCTGTGTTTGCTCAAACGGAACAAAGAGCAGGGAAAGCCCCTCCCCTCCAGGCAAGAAGAGAGGAGAGCAGAGCGTCTTTCTAATTCCTCTCCCTGCTCCGGAGGGAACAATGTTTGTGAAGGGAAGAGAGATTACAGGTTCGGCTTAAAATTCTGATTTGACTTCCTGCTTTTTGTTTTTGGAGACACGCAGCATTCAAATATGCTTTCTTCCATTTAAAAGGATGAAATCCTTAAACAGTGTTTTGCCTGTAAATTCATGCGATCTGGAAGATTACAGTGTCTGTACCTCTTAAGGGATGGCAAAGCTTAGGTTTCGCTGCTAAATAGTTCTTAATGCAGTTAAAATGCTTTCTTCTGTCATGCTGGTGGGAGGGAGAGGGAGAGGGAGAGAGAGAGAGAGAGAGAGCGCACGCTGGCTGGCTTGTGTGGGTGGGTGGGGGGAAACTTTTGCCTTCCTTTCCTCACGTTATAGCCCTCTCCTGCATTCTTAGCCTGTGTTTTTCCTTCCCTCCCCACTTAAAATGTGGTTACAAAGCATGGATCCACATGGATCCTCAGGATCTTTGCATTGGGTCACCCCAAATTCACCATCAGAGCACACAGCATGTCCATGGCTACAGCCTGCCCCCCCAAAATCACACACCCATTGTTGCCTGGGGCTGCAATGGTGCAAAAACGTGGTTACAAAGCATGGATCCACATGGATCCTCAGGATCTTTGCATTGGGTCAGCCAAAATTCACCATCAGAGCACATAGCATGTCCATGGCTACAGCCTGTCCCCCCCCAAAAAAAATCACGCACCCACTGTTGCCTGGGGCTGCAATGGTGCAAAAACGTGGTTACAAAGCATGGATCCACATGGATCCTCAGGATCTTTGCATTGGGTCAGCCAAAATTCACCATCAGAGCACATAGCATGTCCATGGCTACAGCCTGCCCCCCCCCAAAAAATCACGCACCCACTGTTGCCTGGGGCTGCAATGGTGCAAAAACGTGGTTAAAAAGTATGGGTCCACATGGATCCTCAGGATCTTTGCATTGGGTCAGCCAAAATTCACCATCAGAGCACATAGCATGTCCATGGCTACAGCCTGCCCCCCCAAAAAAATCACGCACCCACTGTTGCCTGGGGCTGCAATGGTGCAAAAACGTGGTTACAAAGCATGGATCCACAGGGATTCTCAGGATTTTTGCATTGGGTCACCCCAAATTCACCATCAGATCACATGTCTGTGGCCACAGCATGAAGCACAAAAATGATACGTCCACTGTTTCATTCAGAATATTTTTTCCCTTGTTTTCCTCCTCTAAAAACGATGTGCGTGTTATGGTCAGGTGCGTGTTATAGAGCGAAAAATACGGTAATCCTTTAAGGCAGGGGTGGTGAGTACTCAGCAGTGAGTAGGAATACCTCATTCTCTCCTTTTCTCTTCTTCCTGCACTGTCAGCTCTGTTGAGAAGGTCAGACTCCAGAGGTGTGAATTGATAGGTTGTAGCAGGATCCCATTCCCTCACATTATTGTCACTTCATCTGTTTGGACTTTCCTTGTGTCTTCCCGCCCTACATGCCTTCTCCCTCACCTGCATGAAATTAGGCTGAGAGCCTCAAATGCCCATCTCTTCATTTGTGGTGACTGTAGGGTTTGGAGGCCCAAATGTGATTGGCAGCAGACCTGTGCCTTTAAATTTGAGTCTGTTTCACTCATGTAGTTCTTGAGATGAGGACTACAAGTAGGGCAGGATGTGCGAGGGTAGATTTCAGCAATTCCCACCCACACAATTGTTTGGCAGTTTCATTCCCCCCCCCCCTGCTCTACATATACACCTTTAAAGACATGGACCTGCTGCCATCCTGTTTGCTAGGGGTCTGTATTGTGCTTGAATTATATGAACTTGTTCTGAAAAATTGTTAAAACAATCTAAGGATGCTGTTGCTTTTAGTCTTTGTTCTTAGTTGTAGTTTTTGCATTACTTTGTTCTTACAGAATTAAAATGTTTATAATGAGTTACTTGTAACCTGCCTTTCTCATTTTGCAGAAAGGTGAGCTAGAAATATTGGGCATAAAAGGATGAATACAAAGGTGGCCTAAAGGATCTGATATTGCTGATCCGTTACTGTTGGGTGCTTGCATTTCATTGTAGTTCTGTAATAATAGCAATGAAAAATGTTCTCATTTAGTACTAGCACTAATATTGAAGAATTATAGTTCCTGTTACTGTTGGAGAACATTTGATAACAACAATTCACTTGATGCCATTAGGGCTGTATAAACAGTTTCTTAGCACAGGTAAATATTTATTTAAAGTAGCTTCTGTCACGTGGATCACCTCTTATTTTGAGTAGAAGGATGTGATCATACGAGTGGCAGAAAGTAGATCATAGTGGATCACTCACCAGTTTCTGTGTAGATGATCTAGTGTCTGTTGGTTGCTAGGACTCTTGTGAAGAATGCAGATCTAAGTCTGAAACTTAGTCTAATTGGAACTTAGTCTGGTAGGGTGCTTATAAATAATACGCAATTGTCACAGATGCAAATGATTTAAAGCAGTATTCCCTAACTTGTTGCTGTCCAGGTTTTGATAGACTTAAGCTTTCATCAGTCCCCGGCCAGCATGGCAAATGGTCAAGTATTTGTAGGGAGTTGTAGCAAATGGTCTGACAACATCTAGAAAGTACTAGATTGGAGAAGGTTAATTTCAGGGCTCATGTAAAGGCTGAAGATTATATTGACTTGAAAAGCCAATCTGAGTAAAATAACATCTGACAACAAACAAATGAAAGGGAACACAGGAAAGAAGAACAAAATGCACCATTTTAAATGCAGAGCTAGCAGTCAATTTGCATTGTTAAGAAGCCAGTTAACAGATAAACTGATTATAGTATAGCTTACAACATGTACAATAAACTATTTGTAACACAAAACTTTGCCACTATATTTTATCCAAAGCTAATGAAGGAATGACATTTTTATTTAGCAGTGTTAAACAGCACTTCTGAGTAGAGTTTGTTTTTTGTGTGCTAGAAGATTTTAGTTTGGCTGATTGGAAAGGGTTTGAAAGGGATCTCTGAGGATGATCTCTGCTGTGCCCAACTGCGGCTTCATCTGCAGAAAACTCGCTAAAACAAAACAAAAACAAAAAAATGCTAAAATGTTGATAGTTGGCTGTTCAGAATGGGGTCTAGCTGCTCCTTATGGGCGCCATTGGATCAGAATATTAATATTCTTCAGTGTCCCTTAATATTTTACCTTCCTATTGTAGACAGCTTTATTATATTGGTTTTGCAAATCTCCAAGCCAGGCATAGGCAAACTCCGGCCCTCCAGATGTTTTGAGACTACAATTCCCACCATTCCTGACCACTGGTCCTGTTAGCTAGCGATGATGGGAATTGTAGTTCCAAAACATCTGGATGGCTGGAGTTTGCCTATGCCTGCTCTAAGCCAAGTAGCAAGGCTTACACTGACATGTATTGAATATTGGTAAACTTAAGTTTTATAGGTTTATATTGGCAATCTGTGAACCATGCACACCAGTCATCTAACATGGAGCATTTTAGTTTTGTACGTTTGAGTTCACATCTGCTTGTATCCTACTCTTGCTTCTTTCCTGTGTGTTTACTTACACCCACTCCCCTGCCTTTGATTTCCTCATTCCCTATGCTCTTGGAACTTGTTAATGACTTACCTTGTTTATGAATATTTTCCTTTTCCCTATAGTTTCCTGTTGCTAGAAAAATGGGAGGCCTTTTCAGCTTTTAAGTAAACAAAATGGGGCTTATAAAAAGGAAACAAAGATCAAAGCTCTATTGATTTTATAGATTGATGCACGGACCCCCCCCCCCCAAAGCAACAACACTTTCTGCAAATGTACAGAGATAACTGCTGGAACAGAGTTAGATAGACACATGGGGGACACTTACAAAGACAGAAGAAGGGCAGGTATATTGTGTCAAGTTCTGTAGAAAGTAATTAAACCACAGACGGTGGAACTGCAGTGGCACAAAACATGATCTAGTCCAGCTTAGGTTTCCATGCTGAAACTAACTTTTGTCAGGCCTTCCCTGTTCTTGCCTTCCCCTGCCCCATTACAGTCTTTTTGAACATGTTACACAAGTCAAACCCAAAGTAAAAGACTGTGTAATTGTACAGTACATTGCAATATCTATGCAGTGTTGGGCTATGATGTGATTTTTGCCTCTAGTGTATTAAGGGCAGCACTGGAGAGTCAGGTGGTGGTGTAGACCTATTTCATGTCATAGAACATTAGTCTTCATACTCCATTTCAGTGTTAGAAACTCGGATATATAAACCAGGCACCAAATGGCGACTTAAGCTGAGGTTACAGGTGCCAAAACAGAATGTCTAGCTGCCATTTTGGGGCAAGACGGCTCTAAAGTCTTTATTTTTCAAATGATGGACTGACTGTGATTGATTCTCAGTTAAACATCTGGCTAGTTCAGATGACAACCTTGAGCTAGGTTAAGAGCTTGTAGAACTCAAAGAAGAAAGTTCCCTGATCCAGGGGCAGTCCACATATATATCGGTCCATTCCAACCTCTCTTAATGGTGACATGGACTATTCATAATGTAAGAGTATTCTTCACAACTGTGAGCAGGGCAGTGGGGTAAGTGAAGACAAGCGACAACAATTAGCTATAATGTTCGCTGCTCCTGCTCAGGCTGCAAAGAAAAAGCATTTTGGTTCCAGAAATTCATTCCTGTTGTACAGATAAAATATAACTGATGGAATTCTGCAGGGTGGGGCATTAGTGTGTAAAAACAGTCCAGATCGAAGGATCCCCAGGCATTCACCTCCAGAATGTGGAGATGTCAGGCCATCTTCACTTGGTCGCAAGTGGCCAATAGCCAGGTGCAAAATGCGCCTGGTGCCTGGCTAATTTTGAACACTGCTCCAGTTGTACTATAAACCCCTACTGCCTGTGCCATAGATTATTCATCCATGTCTTATAAATTATGGACATTTACATGCTGGATTGTCTAGGCTCCCCCGTCCTAGTTCCTCCTCAACACTCCTAGGTTGTTACCTACTTCCTATTGTACATTCCCAACTGCTGTCATCATTATGGTTGGGAAAATGTAGCACAGTGCTATGATGTGTGTGTGAGAGGATAAATGGTTTTTCATTCTAGACTTTAAAATACCGTATTTTTCGCTCTATAGGACGCACTTTTTCCCCTTCAAAAATGAAGGGGAAATGTGTGTGCGTCCTTTGGAGCGAAGACGCCATAGCCCTGCGACCCTCTCCCGGCTGGAGAGGTAATGCGGGGCTATGGCAGGAGCCTCTATAGCCTCGTGTCACCTCTCCAGCCGGGAGAGCACGCGCAGGGCTAAAGCAGCCCCCCGCGACCCTCTCCCGGCTGGAGAAGTGACGCGCGCCTATGGCAGGAGCCTCCATAGGCGCGCGTCACTTCTCCAGCTGGGAGAGCGCGCGCGGGGCTAAAGCAGCCCCCCGCGACCCTCTCCCGGCTGGAGAGGTGACGCACGCCTATGGCAGGAGCCTCCATAGGCGCGCGTCACCTCTCCAGCTGGGAGACCGCACACGGGGCTAAAGCAGCCCCCCGCGACCCTCTCCCGGCTGGAGAAGTGACGCGCGCCTATGGCAGGAGCCTCCATAGGCGCGCGTCACCTCTCCAGCTGGGAGACCGCACGCGGGGCTAAACCAGCCCCCCGCGACCCTCTCCCGGCTGGAGAAGTGACGCGCGCCTATGGCAGGAGCCTCCATAGGCGCGCGTCACCTCTCCAGCTGGGAGAGCGCGCGCGGGGCTAAAGCAGCCCCCCGCGACCCTCTCCCGGCTGGAGAAGTGACGCGCGCCTATGGCAGGAGCCTCCATAGGCGCGCGTCACCTCTCCAGCTGGGAGAGCGCGCGCGGGGCTAAACCAGCCCCCCGCGACCCTCTCCCGGCTGGAGAAGTGACGCGCGCCTATGGCAGGAGCCTCCATAGGCGCGCGTCACCTCTCCAGCTGGGAGAGCGCGCGCGGGGCTAAACCAGCCCCCCGCGACCCTCTCCCGGCTGGAGAGGTGACGCGCGCCTATGGTAGCAGCCTCTCTGCTGCGCCTTTCCGCTGCTCCCTGACCTGCTCTTTGGGGCTGGTGGTGGGCTTCCCCCCGCCAGCCCCAAAGAGCAGGTCGAAAGGAACCTGAAGCCTGGAGAGCGAGAGGGGTCTGTGTGCACCGACCCCTCTCGCTCTCCAGGCTTCCAAGGTAGCCGCCTGAACGCACCTTAAACGGCACCTTGTTTTAGAGGAGGAAAACAAGAGGGGGGAAATTCTCCCACTCTCTGCGCAGCGCCTCCTGCCACTTCACTGAAGGTGCGCTGGGCAGAGAGCGGAAGAATTTTTTTCCCTTGTTCTCCCCCCTCTAAAACAAGGTGCGTCCTATTGTCCGGTGCGTCCTATGGTGCGAAAAATACGGCCTGTAATAATACTGCATGCAGAGAGATGGTATGTGCATGTAGGTGCCATAACACTACATTTCTCTGATCTGGGGAAGTGTAGTGGACTTGGCAATTGGAGAGGGCAATGTTACGGTGAAGGAACATAGTGTGCAGTGTGCCACTCAGTTAAATTTTTGCTGCAATTGTGACAGTGGTGTATTATATATGTAATCTACTGCTACAGCACTATACAGTGACATTGGCTGTACACAGAATCAGTTTGAAAATCAGTGATAAATTTAGATGAATTGTAAATGTGATGTGATCATGTATATCCTGAATAAAGTCTGATAGTGTCTGTGTGGTGTTGATGTATCATTTTGAATATAAAAATTTCTCTGGCCAGAAAGATACATATCTTTATACTACTGCAAATCTGCCATCTTGTTCCAAGAAAACAATACACATTCTGTTAGTTTATTAGTGAACTCTGTTTACAGTCTATGAAAGAAATTTCATGCCTGAGATGCAGAATTCTTCATAACATTTACAAGGGAAGAAAAGCTCTATTCAACTACTTGTTATGACAAAATTCAATTTTTTTCCTGATACTTGGTAAAAGCCTTTTCTAATTCAATCTCTGTCTTTTGTCTTTGCTACCTTGCAGGGTTGGTACTGTAGGCCTCACTAGACTTAGCTGCAACTAAGAATTTCTCCTACATCAACCAAGTTAATGGTGATGCTCTTGTGGATTGGTGAATAAAAGTGCGTGCTAAATATTTCAGAAGCGCAGAAAACAATTTTTTCTTCTCAAAGTTGTACCACAACCACTACCATCAAGATAGCAAACCAATGGACAAAGAATTTGAGCCACAGTATTTGTAAAACTAAAGATTTGTTTTACTAAGGCTTGAGGTCTGTGACCTGGACATCAGCTTTCGGAAGCTCCTTTGTTTACAGAAATGAGGGCGGCTTTGGAACCAGCAGACATTGCCATTGTGGCACTGTATTTTGTGCTTGTGCTGTGCATAGGCTTTTTTGCCATGTGGAAATACAATCGGAGCACTATAAGTGGGTACTTCCTGGCAGGGCGATCTATGACATGGATGGCAATTGGTGCTTCCTTGTTTGTGAGCAACATTGGGAGTGAACACTTCATTGGGCTTGCGGGATCTGGAGCAGCAAGCGGATTTGCCGTGGGAGCATGGGAACTCAATGCCTTAATGCTTTTGCAACTCTTAGGATGGATCTTTGTTCCGGTTTACATACATTCTGGAATATACACCATGCCTGGATACTTATCCAAACGTTTTGGAGGGCATAGAATTCAAGTATACTTTGCCATGTTGTCTCTAATTCTGTATATCTTCACCAAACTTTCAGTGGATTTGTATTCAGGTGCATTGTTTATTCAAGAATCACTAGGCTGGAATATTTATTTGTCGGTAATACTGCTGATTGGAATGACTGCACTGCTGACTGTGACTGGGGGTCTTGTGGCAGTTATCTACACAGACACTATTCAAGCTTTGCTTATGATTATTGGTGCCCTCACCCTTATGATTATAAGTATGATAGAAGTTGGTGGATTTGAAGAAATGAAAAGAAAGTACATGTTGGCAAAACCAAATGTTACATCGATCTTGTTGACTTACAACCTTTCCAATACAAATTCCTGTCATGTTGATCCAAAGCCTGATTCGCTGAGAATGTTACGTGAACCAACAGATGAAGATGTTCCGTGGCCTGGTTTCCTTTTTGGACAGACGCCAGCTTCTGTTTGGTACTGGTGTGCCGACCAAGTCATCGTTCAGAGGGTTTTAGCAGCAAAAAACATTGCTCATGCCAAAGGATCCACCCTAATGGCAGGTTTCTTAAAGCTTCTGCCTATGTTCCTTATAGTTATTCCAGGTATGATTTCACGAATACTGTTTGCAGATGATATTGCATGTATCAATCCAGAACATTGTATGCAGGTTTGTGGAAGCAGAGCTGGATGTTCTAACATTGCCTATCCACGTTTGGTAATGAAACTTGTCCCTGTTGGCCTGCGAGGCCTCATGATGGCAGTAATGATTGCTGCACTGATGAGTGATTTGGATTCTATCTTTAATAGTGCCAGTACCATATTCACACTGGATATCTACAAGCTCCTCATACGGAAGAATGCATCGTCTAGAGAACTGATGATTGTTGGAAGAGTTTTTGTTGCTTTCATGGTGGCAATAAGCATTGCCTGGGTCCCAATTATAGTGGAAATGCAAGGAGGTCAGATGTATCTCTATATACAAGAGGTAGCAGACTATCTGACTCCACCAGTGGCTGCTATTTTTCTCTTGGGTGTATTTTGGAAGCGTTGCAATGAGCAGGGGGTCTTCTTTGGTGGAATGGTTGGATTTGCATTGGGAGCTGTACGACTTATACTGGCATTTATCTATCGTGTTCCTGAGTGTGACCAGCCAGACACAAGACCGTACTTTATCAAAAGTATCCATTACATGTACGTTGCTACCGCACTGTTTTGGATCACTGGAATTATTGCTATAGTAGTAAGCTTGCTTACACCACCACCCTCAAAAGAACAAATTCGGACGACAACGTTTTGGTCTATGAGAATCAGGACCGTAAAGGAAAGCGCTTCAGCAGGCAGTTCGTTCAAAGCACAAGGGAAGACCGTCTTAAAATACAGTGACACTTCAAATCATATCACTTCAAATGGGAAATCTGAAGAAAATATTAAAAATGATCAGCCTGAAAATGTCAATCTCTTAATTACTTGCAGAGATGAGAGCAATCCAGTGATATCTTTAAGCAACTCTGAAGTTGAGACTCCAGTTGATAGTTATTCTAATGGACAGGCAGCTCTTATGGGTAAAGAGAAGATTGGTGAAGAGTCTGAAAGTAGTGACAGACACTGGAAATTCATAGATTGGTTCTGTGGCTTTAAAAGCAAAAACATGAACAGTCCAGTCAGAGATAAGGGGGAAGAAGAGACTATGTGTCTACAAATGCTGGAAGAGACTCCAAAAGCTAAATTAATACTAAACAGTGGACTATTTTGTGTGTGTTCAGTTGGAATATTCATGTTTGTTTATTTCTCTGTGTGAACAAATGATGAATTTTATTTGGTCAGATATACAGAAGTAGAGATAGAGGTCCTTGGAGAAATATTTATATATCTGTGAGTGTGTGTGTGTGTGTGTGTGTGTGTTAGTCTTATATCTCAGGATTCCTTTACGCTTTTATTGTCAGCCAAATTATTTTTCAACCAAATTATTTTCAAATTATTTTGAAAATCATTAGACGTTTTATATGTTAGCATTTCTGTTTTAGTGCAAAATGTTTGTGGGATTAAGTGCAGTACTAAATGTTGGGTTTTTGTATACCAAAGTAAGAGATAAATGTGTGTTGAGAGGTAAAATATTAAAGAACTCTCAGAGGTCCAGCAAAAGTGAAAAAAGTGTTATAGTTAAAAGGGGCAAAACTGTACATTATGAAGAGCATTCCAGAGTATTTTTGAGTGTCAGAAGATATCTTTTAGCAATCGTAATCAAGTAACTTTCTGTGATTTCTCCCTATATTCTTAAAACATCAGATCTATGTTCCTAACAACAACAACAACAACAAAAAGAAAAAAGACACCAGTATTCTAATTAAATGTTATGTGATCGCTGAAATTTTGCATTGCTGAATCTATAATTCCCTTTTTTCCTTTCTAGATAAAACCACATATTTTAAAACAATTCAGTCTTGCTAGCTGTTAGAAACCTGAATATACAAATAAAAACAGAAGATACAACTAAATTCTACTCAATTCTACTAAATTCAATGAGTAGACCCATTGAAATCAATTGACTTTTAAAAAAGTTGACTATTGCCTATTAGCCTTCAAAGTTATGCAGAAAGAATGTTTCAGACGATGGACAAGGGAGTCTGACTTCCATATTCTCTTCACAAAACCAAATACTCAGTGTATATCTGAATTTTCTTGTGCTTGAATTTTGCACGTTAAAAATAAAAGATTTACAATTGCAAAAGGAAATATCCTAGCACCGCTTCACAAAGCCAGCTTCTTTATTTGTTGTATGATGATCTGTCTGAAACAGTTCACAATTGGATATGGAAGCAACAAATAGCACAAGCCTTTGATGAGGACAATGAGTCTGTACAAAATTAGGCAAAATAATATTCCAAACTTCTTTTTAAAACTATGTGGTTTTATTTTTGTTAGGCTGAGTAGGAACAGAGAGGGAGAATTAAACTGCTTCGCTTTTCCCCTTTAAAAAAAGAAACATCTCCACCTACTGGTTCCAATATATGTGTAGGCTGCATGTTGAGACTACATGTCTCCTACAGATACTTTGAGAAGTGTAGTATAGTAAGTAAGGCTCTGGTAATGAAAGCAGAACTGATTTAAATGGGGTTATTCCAGCACATCCATGGATACTCAGCAACAGTAATATTTTTACTTCAGTACGCAGGCAAGCATATGAACTGTTCCTTGTCCTCCCTCTACCCCACCCCACCCCACCCCACCCCCAAAGCTTAGAATATTATGCTAGAGAAGAACTGCCAGTTTGGTGGCTGCTGCTGCTGTAGCAAGAAGGGCTGCCCCCCACCCCAAATTCTGGTGCCTTGAGTGCTTCCATAGCAGTGTGGAGAAGGACAGGGGAGCATCCCTTCTGCAACATTGCAGCCACAAGGTTGTGGGCCCATAGAGGTGGGAACCAGCAATTAGAGCAAATTTGGAACTCTTATTGAGAACTCTTTCCCAAAGTCAATTTTATTGCTAGCCCCGATTCAAAAAGAGCCTTCCGGTAATAGTTATGGAATGTAACACTTGAGAGCTGAGATCCCATGCCGAATAAATATTTTTAATATATACAAACTTTGTGATTGTGCCTTGCAAATGCAAGGTGTCCTGAAATAGCTGAAAACAATACTTTATTCAAGGTTTCCCAAACTTGAATCTCCAGCTGTTTGGGGAAGTACAGTTCCTATCATCTCTGACCGCTGGTCCTGTTAGCTAGGGATGATGGGAGTTGTAATCAGCTGGAGACCCAAGTTTGGGAAACCCTGTATTTAATAACAAAATCAATTTGGTATCATTTTCAGTTCTTTTCAGTTTCTTCCATACTACCTATCAGTGGAACAACTGGCTTACTAAGGTGACAATTTTTACTAAATGGTTGTAGACTATGTATAGAACTAATGCATATATTCTGAACTATTGATTTTAAGCTTGTATAACTGATATAGTTTTTAAAGAACATGCTGTTTAAATGCACTACAGAGACTTTGGCTTGAATGGCCTCTGTTGATGATTATGAATTGAGACCTTGCTTGTGTACTGGGCCAAGAGTTTATTTAAACCAGTGGCCTTCCAGAGTCAAAGGAAGGTGGTGATACAAGCTTTGAGATGGGTAAGTACCATCATTGCTAAGTGCTAGAGGAGAGTTGCTATTTCTGGCACTTGTAGAGATGGTTGTGTTGACTGCATTGCCAGTTGTCATGTTGCAGGTGGACTAACTCAGGAATTAATTTGGCTCCCACTTTTCTTCCCTAAGATGCCTTGTGTTAAACTAAGCCATTTTCCGGGCCTTACAGCCACATTAAAATAGCAATGTCTAATACTTCCTCGGTCCCAATCCCAAGTCATTTAATACGTTTGCAGTATTATGAATGTAAATGGCAGAGTTTGTGGATCTATTTTAAATGGACTCTTAATGCAATACAGCCATATTCCAAGTGACAATGCAGCACTTAAACACCTAAATATTGAATCATTTCACAGTTTTAACAATAGTTAGAAAGGTTTGCCAAAGTCCACAGAACAAATTTACCTGCCAGTTATCCATTTGGGCCTTCTTTTCTCTTTCCTTACCAATGATGCATGGTTTGTGCGGATAAATAGCTTGCAATATTATGTCTTCGTTTAGACAGCTGTATGGCAACTTTTGATGTTTTTTTCAGCATACACTTACCTCTCTTTACTTCGGGGCTCTCCTGGGATTGTGTTGTTCTAAAACAGAGACTGCCTGTCACTTTAAGTTGTGTGAGATAAATCCTGCTGGTTAACCACAGTGGTTGGGAACCACAGTTGTTGGGAACAGTCTTAGGATGAAACATGTTTTTAGAGAACTGCTGGATCAAACCAAGGGTCCATCTGTCCATCTAGCCCAGTACCCAGCTTGCCACAGTGGCCTAGGGATTTGCTGCCTTGCTGTATTCTAGACTCTTAAGACTGGCTCCAAACCAAGCTAAAACAAACCAGTACATCAAGCCATGGATAGCTTGATTTGTTAACTAATGGGTTAGAACTAACTATAGTTCCAAGTTCATACCCAATACGGAATTCTTCTTTATTTGTGTGTGGAGCAGAGGAAAATGAGAGCATGCAAATCTTTCACTTGCTGTGGCTTGCTCTTCCTCTTCCTCTTCCTCTTCCTCCCTTATACTAGTAGAACCTGCGACTATCCAGTAAAGCTGAATGTTGGAGGACTAAGGATAAACAAAAGAAAATACTTTGTCACACAGTGCATAGTTAAACTGGTATTTGCTTCCACAAGATACATTGATGGACACCAACTTGGATGGCTTTAAAAGAAGATTAGACAAATGCATGTAGAATAAAGCTGTGTTTGGCCTCCACTGTCAGTGGCAGTATGCCTCTGCTTACCAGTTGCCAGAAAGAACAAATGGGGGAGAGGTGGAGCACTCAGGTCGTGCTTGCAAGTTCCCCAGAGACATCTGGTTGGCCACTGTTAGAACAGGATGCAGGACTAAATGGACTTTTGATCTGATGCAGCATGGCTGCTGTTAAGTTAACCTGTTTTACCCAATCTGGTACCTTCCAGATGTTGGGGTTTACAGTTTACATAGTCCCTAAGCATTAGCTATGCTGCCTTGGGCTTTTTGAAGTTGTAGTTATCAACTGGAGGGCACCAGGTTTAGGAGGGTTGAACTATAGCTAGATTGTTTGAATCCAGCTATTCATTGATGGGCATGCTCTCAGACTAGAACCTGGCAACCCCATTTCCTGCTGTTTGTCTCCTAGTAGACTATATCCTAAGTGTAACTTAGATTATGTGACTTCCTAATTGAGTTCTCCATTGTTGTAAGAACCATGAACTGAGTTTCCCATATTCCTTTTCCTACCTAACATTCCATTTAGAATATTTTGTATCTATGGTTTCCTTTTAAACTGAGAAAGTAAATGTGTAATAGTGCCTTTTGGTAGCAGAATATAACCTTGTTAGGTTAGTGCATCTCATCTGTGATGAAAATACTTATATCTTGCTGATTCTTCACATTTCTACCAATGCCATTAGGGAACATTATATTTTTCTAAATCTTTCTCTTATGTGTCTTTCTAGACGTGAATAGAAATTTATTTAAACAGCAGGTCGTAGCCTAAATTACTCATTAATGGCTGTTCTGTGTAATGATCTGTTTTGCTTTAAAACGTATGGGGAACCTGTGACCCACTAGATACTAATGGCCATTGATCAGGGAGGATGGGAGTTGCATTGGATGGCCACAGCTTCCCCCTTGCTGCTTTAAAAAGAACACCCAGTATGTAGAACAAGTAATCTCTAAAGAATAAAAACGTTTGCTATTTATCTCTGGATTTCTGCATGTTATATAGCCCTCTGATGCTTGACTGTATTTAGCAATGTATACAAGAGAAATTAGTATCATCACAATGTCTTTAGAGCCTATGTAAAGTAGCTCATAAGCAGACCCTTTTAGCAGTTCATAGAACATAGAGTTGGAAGGGACTCCAAGGGTCATCTAATTCAACCCCCTGCAATGCAGGAATCTCAGCTAAAGCACCCATGACTGATGCACATCCAGCCGTTGCTTAAAAACCTCCAATGAAGGAGAGTCCACCATCTTCCGAGGGAGTCCATTCCACTGTTGAACAGCTTTTGCCATCAGAAAGTAGTCGGAATATCTTTTCTTGTAACTTAAAAGCCATTGGTTTGGGTCCTTCCCTCCAGACCAGGAGAAAACAAATTGCGCTAAGTGGGAATCTGTTTTAATAGCATTTGAGATTAACACAATGAGCATTCTTAAACTGCTGTAATATCGCCTGCTCTTTCTAATAAATCCTGTCTATTTAGCAGAATTCTAGCTTTGATCCTCTGAACTCCAGTGGATTTTGTCTTTTATCAGTCTGGAGGTTTGTGGTGTAGACAGAGGGGAACTTTATTTGTTGTATTATACAGTTGGGTATGTGTTTTCTTCCCATTGATCAATACTACTTCCATAGGACCTAAATCTTTTGACCACTATCAGTGGCTATAGCCCTGCATTCTGGAACTAGGCAAGCATTCCAGTGGTGGGCCTAGTTGTTTGTGTGAACATCATTCCGGGTGTCTGGCAATTTATTGCCTTATGTGTGAACATGACACTTAACCAAGCCCTGCTTTAGATACCCACATATTTTCATGAATTTAAAATGATGGTTTTTAAACATTCATTTGCTTATTTAAGCCAACAGAAGCATCGGTCAGAAAACTGTACGTGGGCCTTATTTTTGCATTGTTTTCAGGAAAAGCGTAGCTTCTGTTTAGGCAAGTGTTCTTAATTTCCTTTTGTCACCATCTAGAAGTGACAAAAAACTAATGATTGTGTGCTATCTATTCCCCCTTCCTCTCTCCTTTCCATCAGTCATCTGAAAAGTACAATATCTTCCTGGGAAAGGAACGGGTTGGATTGTAGGCTAACAATTACTTATGAAATGTAGACAGAAAAATGTGCTTAGATTAATTTTACAGCTTTATTTTTAAATCGTTGTCATAAGGCAAATTGCAGTGTATTGGGTTTGTTTTAGTCTCACCCACCCCTATAAAGTATATATATTGAATTCACAAATCTAGTCTTTTAAGGAAAAGATTAAATTGTGTGATGTATTTTAAACGTAGATAGCCACTGTTCGTTTGGTATGCTGTCTGTTTGTGCCTTTAAAAGTATATGTTTTGAAATAAAACTAACATTCTACATGTAATGTTTCAAATCAAAGATGTGTCCGATGTTTAAGGGTTCTTTTGATAGAAATTGTGTATAACTCAGTGGTTTTAAATCTGTTTTAATTAGCTGTAGGGTCATAGTTCTAGAATGAAAGTATATATAATTCAGATGTTTAATTTCACTGTGAGGTCTGTAAATTCTTGTTGGCAAAAAGCTTTTCTTTCGTACAAAACAGTCTGGGGTATGGAGGGTGCTGGTTTAAAACAAAAGGCTTTATTTTTGTTCTGATTGTATCTAATATGAAATGTTATGTAGTGGCATTTGGTGACACTACTTTTCCATAGCATTTATCAGCTTCACTGGGCAAAGCCAGACACTGAGCAATGATGGAAATGACATACAAGAATACTAAGTGTCTAAGAATACATGCTTTTAAATGAGGTGGATATAAAAATAGTTGCTGTGCAAAAAAATTAGTAGTCTTCTTCAAGAAGAAAGCAAATTGTTTTCTAATAATGCTAGGTAAATCCTTTTTGTTCATTCTTTGTTTTAAGAACTGTCAGTGTAATGCTACTTATATCGTGTATCTTTTTAATATAACTATTACATTTTTTTAAAGAGACGTGAAGTGTTTTTATTGCTGTTGTACTTTCTGTAGCATTTAAATAAATTACAATTGCTTTCGTTTTTTTAAAAAGAAACATTAAAAGATTTTGCAGACCAAAAACAAATGTTGTGCAGCATGTCAAATCTTGAACGCCACCCAAACTTTGGGAGGGGGGCAGGAATTAACCAAATGGGCATATAGATGTAATAAATCTACTTGATTTCAGAACTCTTTGGCCACTTTTTTTAAATTAAAAAACATACGTATGATCTGAAAAGATTGAAATTTTGAATAAGATACCCATGTAGTAAGACTGTCTAGAAGTGTTAAGAAAACAGAGATTTTGTAATTGTCCATTTCTACCACCCACAATTACAAATTTGTCATAGAAAATTGGTTTGATCCAGTGTATAGAACATGACAGTAAGGAAATTCTTATGAAAAATTCAGTTCTTATTGCTAGCCCTGTGTTTGTTTGTTTGTTTGTTGTATATTGTGTACTTATTTTGCCTTCTGCATTAGTCTTCAAAATAAACTCTTATTAGAGTATTTGTATAATTAAAACTGTATTTCTTGCAGTTTACATTCCTTTTGAATGTGGAATTTTTGTCCTCTCAGAGTTATTATATGGAAATGTTTCAACTTCTGTACAAAGGTTAAATAAAAGTACAAAATAAAGAAACAAACTCACAAGTATTTTTCAAACTGTTTTGGAACTTGGTAGACAATGTATTAACTTTCCGGTAATATTTTTAAGTCCCAACCACTTGTTTTGCACCTTTCATTGTGAAGGATTCCTAAGTGAATCTTCAGTGGTTTATAAACACTCATTTCAGATCAGTTTTGTTTTGAGGGATGGTTTTTGTGAGGCAACAAATGTGCATGACTTATTTCTGATCTCCAGATGAAGAGAGTGAGCACTGTTCACCTAGTGGCAAAGGCACACCTTGCGAGTGTTAAACATTCTTATCCATTGGCCTTTCTTCGCCTTCCTTGCAAGGCAGATCCACTGCCCACCTCGCACTCACTAGCAGCTTCTACAGTTTTTCTTCCTTTTTGCTACTCCCTCCCAAACCTCTTTGCAGTGGCAGACCTTGGGATCTATTTAAGTTGCTTGCAATAATCCTTCAGAAGCAAGCAAGGATTGTGGTTGTAAACTTAGAACATTGGCTATATTTCTGTTTCGTCCCATCTGCTAAACATACTCAGTATCACCTTAGCACTTAAAATACGCTTCAGTGCTATTGTGGTTTTTTTGTTTGTTTTTTAACCCTGAAGATGTAAGAGATACGTGTGAAAGAGCTGCATAGGGTCTTCTTCAGCCAACATTAATTAAAAAAAGGCCTTTAACTACAGGCTGCACAACTTATTGTGAAACCTCCCCTTCAGATTTTGTGATCCTGTTTCCCCAGTGGAACATGAAGTAACTCGCATACCTAAAACAATGGTTCTATTGTTGAAACAGATACTTATTTCATACTTGCAAAGACTCCGGTTGCATGTGAAAATTTCTTTCCAACTGGTTCTGTTCTTTTTCTCCAAAGCCGTCCTCTTTTGTGGCAGAAGACACCAAGGAAAAACTAGTGAACACATCAACACAAATGCATTGTCCCAACACACATACAGTGGTCCCTCAGGTTAAGAACTTAATTCACTCTGGAGGTCCGTTCTTAACCTGAAACTGTTCTTAACCTGAGGTACCACTTTAGCTAACGGGGCCTCCTGCTGCCGCCACCGCCGCTCAATTTCTGTTCTTATCCTGAAGGAAAGATCTTAACCCGAGGTACTATTTCTGGGTTAGTGGAGTCTGTAACCCAAGGTACCACTGTACACCCACACTGCATATACTTGCACATTCAGGGTCCCTTGGAGATGAGAATCTGCAAACTTAAGTTGTATTCTGGAAATCTAATTGCTGAGGAAGCAAAATATCACACGCACATCAAATTCATACATAACAAAAGTATGAAATGCAAGCAGGACAAAATCAAATATTGAGAATGGTCCTTTAGTTGCAGGAGATGGGTCTGTTCTCCTTGAGAACCCCCGCAGCTCCCGCCTTCACATTATTTCAGATTACTTGTTCACAACAAGGAATTTCACTGGAGGGAGACAAGAATGTGTGTTGGGGGGGGACACGCTTCACAGATATGGAATGCACTTCTCTGAGTGCTCGCTTTCACCGCAGATCAGTCTAAAACATTATATCCTTTTAAATTTAATGTAATGCAATGACCTTTAAATGGAATTGAAAGAAATTATCAGCCTGTGTGGTGTAATAGGACAAGCTTGACTTCCTGAGTTAATTACAATATGGGTATAGGTAAAACACACTTCATAAGTGCATTCCTGGAAGCTTGCAGCATTTATAAGAATAGTTATTTGCAGTTGTAATGTGCAGTATATTAAACATATTTGATGCTGTCAAAAATGCACATTCAGTCTAGAATGTCTCCCATTGAACTCAGTTGGGTGTAATTGTGAAGAAACAGGTGCACTATGTTGCTGTTAGTGATTGTTATAGTCTGATACGGCACCCTTGAAGGTTATGGAGAGAAGAATCAGAATTCCCCCCTCCCCTTTGACATCTATTCCAGTTTCTCCTTTATTATTTTCTTGCCAGGTAAGTATAGGGGGCAATAGTAATTTACTGCACTACAAACTCATGTCATCTTCTTTGTGTTTAAAGCCTGAGACAGCTGCAACACTGAAACGCACAGTGGAAGCTTTGATGGAGAGAGGAGCAGTGGTGAGGAATTTGGAAAACCTGGGCGAAAGAACGCTGCCATACAGAATTTCAAAGCACAATCAACGTCACACCAGAGGAGGGTATGAGTTTCACAAGCCTTGAGTCTAGTTTTTAATAGAATTTCTTGCCATGGAATGTTTTTGAAAGGGGAAAATTTGCAGCCTGACAACATTGGGCGGAGCAGGCAAGCAAAGTAGACAGGCTGGCAGAGTAAGTGGGCAGGTGGGTGGCCCAAGCCAGCCTTCACACTTTTCTCGCCATGCCTCCACTTGCCTGCCTGTTTGCATGCGCACATGTACATCAGGGCAAGGGGAATCCAGGATTCAAATGAGCAGGTGGCCGTGCTGGGCAGGCAGTGTGAGCAGGTAGTTGGGTGGCTGGTCCAGGCAGAGCTGCAGGCCTTCACATGCTCACTTTTGTCGTCACCACCAGCAGTCCTCTCAAAACTCTCCCACCCCCTCTCCTCCATCCTATGATCTCACTGCTGCACTAAGGAGGGGAATGAAATAGAAGCAAATCTCTTTACCCTGTGTTGCTGCCCACTTTCTGTTGGCGGTGCAAAGTCAAGAGGAGATAGACACTCATCTTCATTTCCCTGTCTTCCTAGAGTGGCAGTGGCAACAGAGTCCTGGGATTTGGGCAATTAGTGAGTGGATGCAAGAGTTTGGGGTGCACTGGGGGGTGGCAATTGGCAGTGGGGTGGCAAGTGGGGATGGGTGTGTTGAAGAATCTGTGAGGGATATGGGAGGAGTTTGAAGGAGCTGTGGTGCTATTAGGCAGGGGGAGGTTGGCAAGCAACATGAATAGGTAACCCTTAGCTGTTAAATAAATGCTCAAAGCCATGATCTAAAGACAAGGTAGGAGCATAGGGGAGAACAATGTGTGCAGCTGAGGTTTGGATGTTGCTGCAACTATTTTTACTGATTAGGGACACGGTGGTCATCAGTTAAAGCTGTGTGTGCTGTTCTTTTCTGCATACATATATCACTTCTTTGGATTGAAGCCCAGGTACAGGATTTACTGTTAAGGGCCTCTTAATTTCCATTGGGTAATTAATGTAACTTAGATACACTTTTCATTTCAGAATTAAACTGTTTCTTTCCAGAAGTAGACTCCACAAAGCACACAAATCTGCTTACTTAACAATTCTAAAATGAAGCACACAGTAATTTGGGTAGATAATTTCATTCTTCATAGTTAAAGTAAAGGGACCCCTGACCATTAGGTCTAGTCATGACCAACTCTGGGGTTGCGGCACTCATCTCGCTTTATTGGCCGAGGGAGCCGGCGTACAGCTTCCGGGTCATGTGGCCAGCATGACTAAGCTGCTTCTGGCGAACCAGAGCAGCGCACGGAAATGCCGTTTACCTTCCTGCCAGAGCGGTACCTATTTATCTGCTTGCACTTTGACGTGCTTTCGAACTGCTAGGTGGGCAGGAGCGGGGACTGAGCAACAGGAGCTCACCCCGTCGCGGGGATTCGAACCGCCGACCTGATTGGCAAGTCGTAGGCTCTGTGGTTTAACCCACAGCGCCACCCACATCCCTCATTGTTATCTGCTAGTTAATGCAAGCATTGATTCTTTACTATTTCCTTTGTTAAGAAATGCCCTTCGTGTAAACACTTCCTTTTCAAGGTAACATTTTTATTTCACCAAAGCCAGTTGGAAACGATAATTATTTATCTTTTGAGATACTGATTCAGGGTTGATTTTATTCCCTTTTGCGTATCTGAACCAAAGTATATTTTTGAGGGTGTTTTTAATGGTGAAATCATTATTAAAGATGGCTGTGCACAAGTAAAAGAAGAGTTATTGTTGTAGTTACTGTTTTTAAGAGAAATATCTTCAGCCCAAGAAAATAAATGCCCTGGCATTTGAAAATTAAGATGCATTAGATAAATGATTACAATGGACTGCAGAGTTTATCCTATAATTGCTTAACATTTTGCTGTTAAACTCCCTGAGAATATCTTTTGAAAGAGAAATGCCTGTAAGCAAGGATGGAGAAATGTTGCTAGGCAACCAGGGTCGCACAGAGACTTCATTCAATAATCAAAATAACAACTTGCAGTCTTTCTCCCTGGCATTTGAAGATACAAATGTGCACACCTTGATGGGCAGCCAGTGCAGCTTATTACCTGTTTCCCCTTGCGGATATTCAAATGATACTGCTGCACAAACTTGCAGAGATGCACCTCTGAAATGATAGCCACTCAAAACATGTTCATATTTTAAGAGCTTATTATCTTGTATTTCCCTCCCTTACAATAATCTATATAGTTATATATTTATAAAGAAATGTGTTTCTTTATAAAGAAACATATTTCTAATCTGTCCTTCAGTACTAGCTCATTTCCCCAAGGGGGGGGGCATGCAAAACACACATTAAAACCAAGTTTGAAAAATAAACCAGATTAAGAGCATATCTTGCAAACCATGAGGAGTGGAATCAAACCTTTACAAGTTAAAAAATAATTGAGAGCAGTGCAGAATAAAAGCATTTTTAGCGTCTTCCTGAAATTGCAGAGATGAGGTCCATCTAACCTGCCTTGGCTTGTGGGTTCCATAGGGCACAGCCACAGAAAAGGCCCTGTACATTGCTAAAGAAATCCCACACCATGGTTTAGTTTCAAAAAACAGAACAAAACACTTTCTCTTGCAAATACCCCACACAGGAAGCATTCCTGTGCCTAAGGAGCTGCATGTCGATAGGCATGTAGTGAGATGGAGCAGAGGAAACTGTCTTAAACTGAGCCAGACTATCTAGGTCATTATTGCCTACCTTGACTGGCTGTGACTTGGGGGGGTTGCATCTAGGTCTAGGACCGTTTTCAGGTAGGTCCTGGGTCCTACTACTGAGTTACGAGCCTTTCAGCTGCATCTGTTTTGTTTCACGTGCATATGCTGCGCAACCTCACCAAACTCAATAGGTCCCTCATGTTTTGCATCATCTTCTTGATTGTGTGAGAACAAGCAAGTATTGATGTGCGTTGGCATCCAAACTCTGGCAATAAGTGCTACAGCTTGCGCTGTGTCTGGAGTTGCATAAGAGTTCAACCCGAGTTTAAATTCACTACTAGCATTTGTGCCGTTAAACTGATGATGTGACACAGGCACACAGCGTTCTGTTCAAGTATTTTGCAAGGTGGGAGATACTGTGTGTGCGCTAAAATCTGGTGGCGCTGTACAGCAGATGTTGAGTGCACTTAAGTTCCATTAGCTGAGCACTTGATTTCAATAGAAGTGCATCTACTTTCTCTTGAGTGTGCCCTATGAGAAAAGGATTGGGGATTAGGTAGGTAGTGGCACTTCAGAGGCAGTGAATAGAATCTGCATTGTCAGTGTGGGTCGACCCGAAAGGCAAGCAATTAAAGTTGATGGAGTCCACTAACACTGTTTATTTTTGTATTTTCATCCATTACAACATTTCACTGAGAAATAAAAAAGCTGATCCATACAGGATCCATACACTATTGTGGGCAGTGTTCACACAATGTAGTGATGGTCACTTGATTATGATTTTCTGGTCGTGCCATTTCTATACAGTATCGGTCTGATCTGGTATTTGTAAGGGTGAAGGGTGGCTTCAAAACATTTTTAACCAGTAAATAGCTTAGATAGCTTTAAAACTAGGCTAGACAAATTCTTGGAGGATAAGTGTATCCTTGCTATCAGTCATGATGCAGTCCCCTGGTCCAGAAGTAGCAGGGCCAACTGCTCTGGACCAAACATTTTACTATGTTTTTATATGTGCTGTAAGCTGCCTGGAGTGGCTGGGGAGCCAGATGGGGGGGGTATTAATAAAATAAAAGCAATAACAACTACTACAGTAATAAGGCTATTGTCTTTACGTCCTGTGTGTGGACTTTCCAGGAAACGGGATGTCTAACTGGAAGAACCATCAGCTTGATCCAGCAGAGTCCCATCTTGCATTCATACAAAAAAAGTTCTTTAGCTTATGTACTAGAGACAATTCTGCTATGTAGAAAGCGTACAAATAGATATGTTGCTGTTGAAATGATGTTACAATCTGCATGTATATGTTTTGCACAAAAAGCCATAAAAGGAAAATAGATGTCTTTTGAGAAAGCTTAAGGTACGAAAACTGAATTGAAGCAAATTGTCCTCGGTGTTCGCTATGAAAGGGGTGGTTTGTTGTTCTTGTTTCCTCTTTCCTGGATCATGGCAATGTCTCTTTTTAAAAAGAAATTCAGTTGTGGACATAAACGTCTACCATATGGCAGGTTTCCTAGCACATCGAATCATGAAATTATTGCTTAACATTTTTCTTCTCGCTTTCATTCTTCATAAATAGACTTGCATTCTATGGGATACTAGAAACTGCCATCAGTTGATGTTGGCTGGTGGGTATGACTGTGCTTTTCAAGGGCTTTGCCTGATTCTTCTGACATGAAATATCCTTAAAAAAATATATTCTTCAGTACATTGGTATTGGAGTACACACTATACTTCCAAGTGTGAAGCCGTTTGTTTTGCCAAGTGCTTAAACACTTAAGTTGCAGTTGTTACACAAAAGGCAGCTAAAGCTGCAGTCCTAATCCCATTTACCTGTGAATAAGCCCCATTGTACTTGGTGGAACTCGCTCTATGAAAAAGCTTCGTCCTGTGCCCAGGTGGTATTTTGAGAGGCAAATGGAGGGTTCTGTCCACCTTCTCTTGCATAGCAGTCAAGAGGGGATGGACTTGGCCTGCAAGCGAAAGCTGACCATGTTTCAGATTCAGATGTTAATATGGCTCATTTGATCTTTTCCAGAAGTGTCCAGCACCTTTGGGATTCCCAGTTTGGCTCTTGCCCATTAGTAGACAAGAAGTTATTCTAGCGTGTCTCTCAGCCACACAATCGGTGATATTCATCTTGACTTAATAAGCCTTCTGTGGTGTAGTCTAAAAATTGTGATGGCATATTGGAAAGCTGAAGCTGACTCTTTATAAAACGTGGAAATTTCCTGGGCACGGTCTTAACCAGGTTCTCCCTTGGGCCCTCATTCACACAAGATCAGCTGAGAACTGCTTTTCCCAATAGGATTCCAAAACAAGCCTGGTCCAGGTGTTTCTCTGGTGCTGATTAACTTTGATAAACCCATTCGGGAATATAGTTGTCTAGTATACTATATTTTAAATCCCTGGATTTAATCTTGGCCTGGATACAGTTCAATATCCAGTCCTCTTTTCTTACCACTTGTTTGATCTGAAATAGGTCTTCATTTAACTCTTTACAGAGATGTTATTTTGGCAGTAAAAAGTCTTAACTGTCCCATCACATTTTATGCACAGTGCACCAAAATAACTAGGGTTTCTGTACTGAATCAGCAGAATCGTCCTGATATTTTTTTCCCCTGTACCGGTTTTTGCTGCTGGTGCCTGGAGAGTTTGAGCTGTACTTCCATCAGGTTTGCCTGCAAATGAACGTTACAGCTCTAAATAGATCTTTGCCGCCTCCTCTCTTCCCCAACCACCTTTCTTCCCATCCCATCCTCAAACCACATGCACCAGGTCTTGTTACTTTGCACGAGAAACTGTAGTGCTACAGTACTTACATACCCGGTCACAACTCATTTCTGAACATGGAGCTGCTCCACACATTACAGAGCTGCTGGGTTGCACAAAACACAATCGGTGCTGGCTTGATTGCCTACGAACAGAAAGTAAGTTCCAGCTCAGCTCTTAAAGTGCAGTTGCTTTTTCTTTTGCTTGTCTGCCTGGGGCATACCTGGGCTATAATTCCAAAAGACAAAGATGGATTTTCCTGATCTCTTGTACACGGATACATACCAAATCCATAGACTGGCTCCAATACTGGGGGTGTTTGATACAGCTAATAAACTTTCATGCTGCAAATTGCTATGTTTCTTGTGTCTCCAGATAACATTTCTTGCTGCTGCTGAAATGGCAACGACAAAGACAATGCAGCAGCAGCATCTCATCTCCCCCATCCCCCAATGCTGCCTTCAGTTATCATCAACAGCAGCACAGTGGAAATTTCCACTCCCTGCCTATATGAGCAGGAGGGAACACGAGTTGCAAGCCATTCCTTTTGGAGCAGAATCCATTTCAGTTTTAAAGACACAATGGAAAGCAGCCCGCTATTCTCGTTTAGCAAGGTAGTAGAAAAATTAGTAAAATGTAAAAGGGGGGCTATGTTGTGAGTGTGTCATAATTATTCCCCAAAAGATGCAGACATAGAACATACATTCTGTATCTTTTGTTTCAGGAGGATTAGATGAGCACAAATGGCAGGAAAATGTTAAGGTTTTGTTTCTTTTAAAAGACATGGCTCTTGAATTTTTCTCTCACTCAGTTTACAGTAATGCCTCATTAAGACTAAATGCTCCATATGAAAGGAAATAGGGCAAACCTCCTTTATCGAAGTCAACTAACAGCACAATCCTTTCGATGTCTATTCAAAAGTAAGCCCCACTGTGTTGACTGGGACAATCCCCAGAAAGCTAGTATTGGATTACAGTCTACTAGACCACTAAAATATTATTTTTATTTCCAGAGACTTGGCAGTCAAATATCAATAAAACAGCAGCCAAAAAGCCTTTCCAAAGGCTTTTTAAAAATTGTGGCATGGGGCAGTCAACTTGCACATTCTTAGTAGGAAGTTTCATAGTGTTGGGCCACTACTGAAAAGGCCCTGCCTTAGAGCCTGCCAATCTTAACTAGTCTTAATGGCGGGCCAGTAATTACTTACAAAAACAGAACAGAGAATTCTATTTTAAGAGGCATTCTCACTTCCTCTCAGGATGAAGTGCCTTTTCTAATATGATGCTGGCTGCAGTATGTGCATCATACCCCAGAACTATTGTTTCTCCTCATACGGAAATTTATGTAGTTGTAGTTGGTTGATCATTGAAAACTCATATGATGATGATTTATTTAACCAAGCTGGTATCCTAGGATACTGTTCTACTTTTCTGAGAGTTTGATTTGATGTCTTACAAACATGTGCGAATTTCTTTTTTCTTATTTACTTCAATTCACTGTAAAACTTTGAATAAACTATAAATTGAGCATGTGCATAAAAACACCAGTGGCTACTTTCAAGGGGAAAATAGATTGTGGAAGGGGAGGGGTCAGTTTGGACTGGAAAAGTGGTGAGCATGTGTGTTTAAACCATTCCCCCGCTTGCTATCTTTCCACTACTGCAGTGGAAACTTGGCCCTCCAGCTGTTTGGGGACTACAACTTCCATCATCCCTAACTAACAGGACCGGTGGTCAGGGATGATGGGAACTGTAATCCCAAAACAGCTAGAGGGCCAAATTTGGCCATCACTGCACTACTGGTTGGCCTTCACATAGGGTTCCAGATGCATGTTTGTGTTGGGATTTTCCAACAGTTTGCTCATGCAATCTTGCCTAGATTTCTACTGGAGGGAGACTGCAGTAGAAAAGAGGTGGGGGAAGTCTGGGAACTTCTCCCATCCCAATCCTCCTTTATTCCAAGTAGTTGCTTCTTCCTAATGGAACCAGGCACTGGTTTTGCCTCCCATTTCAAAGCCAGTAGGTCCATCCTCAAAAGGAAGCTATTGCAGCTTGTAGAAAATGACTGGGTGTTCATATCATCACAGTGAAGTTTTGAAAATCACTTTGCTCCCATGAAACAAATTTCCGGGATTCTTCCTTGCACTTGAGTGAAATAGAAGATCTGAAATGTTCTTGCACATGGTAAACACTCTGTTCGTCAAAGTAGACGTTGGCAAATGGGAGAATGTTTGCCTTGATACCAAGAATTCCAGGCAGTTCTAGAAGTGTGTGAAAATTAAATCTCTGCATTGTTGCCAAGGTTGCAGAGAACTACAGTATGGTATGCAGAGCCTCTGAATGAATGCCAAGACTCTTAAGTTGGTGTTGCCTATCTTCAGATGTGGCTTCTGTCCTCAGTAATTTGAACTTTTAAAGCAAAAGGACAATAAATACCTGCTGCCTTGACCTGTTTTTTTGCTTCCCATTTCTAAATAGAAAAATACCGTCTTGCTATAGCAATTTTTTTGATGGGGAGCGTGCATATCTTACAATACGTAACTAGATTCTCGGATATCAGATATCTGTACTTGGTAGCATATGTGTGACATGATGGTGCTCTCCAGTTGTATAGGGAGGAAGAATGCATGGAATACATAGTCTCTCATACAAGCTCTATCCTTGTTCAGAGCAACAATAAAATGATACTCTGGGGGCTTGCCCTAAATTCATAAAATTTATACTAGAATGCCTCTTGGAAATGCATTTCTTTTCTGGAACTTTGATCACTAGAAGTTCAGACACTCTCAAGATGAGCTTGGATCTGTTCTGATTATAAAGGAAAGGGTTATGTAACTTCTGGCATTTTTAGTGGATGCCAACGTAGAAGGCTTTAAAAGGGAATTGGGCAAATTCATGGAGTGAGTATGAGTCACAAAAGGTATATAATGCCTTCGGGATCAGAGGTGTGATGTCTTTGCATACCATTTTGTGGGGAACAGCAGCAACAAGAAAGTGTTGCTGCCCTCATGCCCCATTGGCATGTAGGAAATGCTGCGCTAGATAGACCTTTGGTCTCATCCACCAGGGCTCTTGTGCTCTTTCATGCTTGTAGCTTTGTTTTTATTGTATTCTTCTTTATTTCCAGGTATTTTTTGGTAGACTTCAATTCTCCACCAACAGCTGTTTCAGCCATAAAGGACCATTTAGGACGTGATATTGATGTGATCCGGTCTTCCATTTTAAAGCACCATGTGGCAAATTCAGAAGAATGCATGGGCATGATACCAGTCAGCACTGAAGATAAACTAACAAAGATGAAGAAATAAATAGCCGGAGACCATAGAGGCATTGCTGCTCCTAATTTGAACCTAGTTGTAAGGATCTGTGATTTATGCAGTGTGCCTAGGTGTGTTACTTTTGACTATTCTGCAGCAAATGACGTTTTATATTTATACTTTGTATTTTAAAATCAGGGCATTTCCCCCCCTAAGTATTGCATCTGTTGCTGAAGTTTATCCTGCCCTAGAAAATTCAGGCTGCTGTCCTAATGCATGCTTGAAAAAGAAAAAGAAAAAACCAAGTCCCATTGAACAAAATAGGACTTGATCCCAAGTAAACATGCACAGACTCAAACTGTCAAACTACCATTGTTCTTTCCAGTTAGGACCTTTCAGATATCATATACTTATGCAGTTATAATGTTCTACCATGATGTAAATAACATTTAATGCAAAATTTGTTAATGAATGTAATAAAAAAATACAAAAAGAACATTTAATGACTGGTTTATAAAGGAACAAACATTTAGTAAATTAATTCTGATCACTAGCATATTGTTTTCAATGCATTTAAATGCTGCTGGGTACTCGTTCATGGAAGTTAAGAAAATGATATGGCTATACAAAAATGTACATTGCAGTGTTGGTTTTATTTTTACAAAATAGAACCAGACACTATCTTGATATTTGTTTTTAATATATTCCGAAATATAACTGCTGGCTGCTGCTTCTGCATTTAGAAATACTAATTGTGTGGATTAATAATAACAATTACATTAGCTTAAGTGGATGGATAGATTCAATAAAGCCTTAACAATTTCCTAATTTTATTCTCATTCCATGTTTTTCCTCCATAAGACCCCAGTAAGATTTCCAGTGCTGCTCCTTTTTTTAGGGTTAGGGAAGACTTTATTTTTTTTTAATGTTTACATTTTTATTTGTTTTCAATGTAACAAGTAACAATAAAAAAATAAGGAACAACACCCTTCCGCCAATTGAAAACAAAACAGCCATACACAAATAGGATTGTATACACATGTATAAAAAGGGTGTACCGAATAATATTGATATACCAAGACTAAAGAATAAAAGGGACCACACAAGGAAAGGACATATGAAAGCTCAGAGTCAAGGTAAGTGGTCAGACCAAAAAACCAAGTGGCAACACAGAGGACATTTAGTACATCCTGCTTGCATAAGGTAAGGCAAGAAGGGCCATCTACAATTCCAAATCCATCGCATTTTTATCAATCCTTTGCTAAGCCTGCTCCATTGGGTCAGTTACAGAAGACGGAAGGTTTATGTTTGAGGTTAAACTTTGTACCTTGGTTCCCAATCTGTTTGGGAAGCCTGCTCTAAAACCAAGGTGTGCTTTCCCATAGAAAGTAATGCAAAAAAAGTCCATTCCAGACTTTTAAAAACAACCCCTAAAACAGCAATTTAACATGAATTTTACTATCTAACGAGACCATTGATCCATAAAATGAAAGCAATAATCAATGTACTGTACAGGGGTACCTCAGGTTAAGTACTTAATTCATTCTGGAGGTCCATTCTTAACCTGAAACTGTTCTTAACCTAAAGCACCACTTTAGCTAATGGGGGCCTCCCGCTGCTGCCACGCCACCAGAGCACGATTTCTGTTCTCATCCTGAAGCAAAGTTCTTAACCTGAGGTACTATTTCTGGGTTGGCGGAGTCTGTTACCTGAAGCGTCTATAACCCGAGGTACCACTGTACTATAAAATAAATAAGATAGTATTGTAGATGAGAGAAATTAAAATTACTATTTTTTCTTATGTGCACTGATGATAGTCATTGTTTGGAAGGGGGCCTTTTATCCATTTCTTCAGTCACAAGCAGTAGCTGAACTGGGTTACACACAGTCACAAAAATGAAGTCACAAGCTGCAGTCACAAGTCGGTCCCATAAAATGAAGAACAAGTCATAGTCAAACGAAAAAGCCACACAAAAATGCAAAAAATAGCAAAAACCAAATCTCCAAGTATCACCTCTGTGTTGTGTGGGTGCTCGGGACTTAACAGCCGACAGACTGATTAGCAGCAGGGAACTCAATTTCAAACAACACACACTCAACAGGAAGTAGAACATGTTCAGCTTCCAAGGCAAAGTTCACAAACCGGAACACCTACTTCCGGGTTTGCAGCGTTCTATTTCCAAGTTGTTCATAAACTAAGCTGTTCTTAAACCAAGGTCCACTGTACACTTCAAGTCTGGCTTGAGCCTGAAAGTTTACTGTCATATCTGCTGATAATCTGTTGATTTAAGAACAGGAATGTTGTGAAAACCCTACTATACCACTGTTGAGGTAAAAACAGGTCATCGTGCTAAAAAAAACAAAACCCAAGGAAAAGCTAAAATTGGGAACCACTATGTGTCCTTTCCGGTGACAGCTAGAGCAACCACAGCCACAAAGATGATGGATTTAAAATACTAAGCGGGTGCCTTGACCAGTCATCCTGCCAAATACAGCAAAGCCTTTATATACTAGTGTTATCTTAGTTCATAAATGTGCTTCTCTAAATCAGAACTTTCTGTGTGAATAGTCCATTTGATGTAGTAGGTAGTTCACACTGATACATACTAGTGTCTTCCAATCACCCCATTCCACATGCACACTTTCTTTTTCTGTTCCCAATATAAATTAACTGCTGCTCAGGTCAGTAATTAGCTATTTTAAGCCACTAACACGCAGGAGCTTTGAAAGCCCAGTATAACTAAATGTCTGTTTGGAGTATATGTTGACTTAATGCCAAGGGGTTTGTTTATTTTTGGGTAAATGACAGTTTCAGTAAGCTGAGCAAAAACCCTGCTGTAAAGTGTGCTAGCAATAGTGAGCAAAAAGTCCCATTGCAAACCTTGAAAATCCAAATTTTCCAGTGATATACCTTAACATTACTGGTTTTCAGTATCACTTTTGAGTTCACTTGTGTCACTAATCTTGCCAATGTCCAGACATGTTGCATGTATACTTTGAAGAGCTGGAATCTCAGTTATTAAAAATGTGATGGCATTTTCAAAACATCTGTGCAGTTGGTGGCAGGAGTAGAAGGATATTAGCTAAAGGTAGGAAGCTAGGGGGAAGTTTCCACTGCCAGTGTTGGAAAATCATTTTAAAAACGTACACAGCTCCCTTTTAATGCAGCTGGAGACTAGGCCAGCCAGGTGTCTAGGAATCATGATTATGCTAGGATCTCTATTAGCATATATAGGAGTGCTTAAAATGTGGGGTACTTGGTCCACACATACCATGTTTCTTGCCAGAAACACTAGTGCCAATGCTGCAAACAGAAGAATAGTATTATCCAAGGCCTAACAGTATCCTAACTACACTATATATTGTTATGGGTTTGCTATCAGATTTCTGCCGGTAGGGCTGTCAAGGTGGGTTGCCTTGGGGCAATGCTTCTACTTGACAGATGTTAGCAGCCTACTGATGTGTTTCCATGGGAACGGACACGTAAACCACTTTCCTGAATACTGAAAGGGTAAAAGGTAAATTTCCCACTCTTCTAGACAAAGGCAGCACAATCCAAACGTATGTGTGCAAAGAAGGAAACCAGCTCAAGCTGGGGGTGAAGAGAGGAGAGCTGTCTCTTTAAGTAGGGTTGCTCTGTAAGTAACAGGATGAATGCTGTGTCTCTGGAGATTCAGCACGGGAGCAGTGTACTTTGGCTTTCTGATGGAGTGTTTAATTTCTCTCTGCCTATGCTCAAACTATATACTTGCTAATAAATGCAAATCATTTTAATGTGCTAATAAGCTTACAGCAATGCCTTTGCATAGGGAACCAAACCTGGGTAAACACTGTTCTCCCAGAACTTCGCAGCAAGCAGAGAAGTAGGGTGAGCATAATATGCAGACAGGAGTCTATCAACTTATTAAATGATAAACTGCTCTTGCATGGAGTTTGAAAGCTATGCAAGACTGCACATGACAACATCCTTCCCCAGACTAGTGTCCTCTGGATCTTTGGGTCTCAAACTCTCATCAGCGCCAGCCAAAATGTTCAATAATCAGAGACAATGGAAGCCAATATCTGGAGGACACTGGGCTGCTAGGGAAGGCTAGCTTATGGTAACCCGTGATATTTCCTCAGAAGTTTCCTCAGATTTCAATGTGACCTATTATATGCACATTTACCTGGGGCTAAGTTCCATTAAACTCAGAAGGACCTTTCTGGACACACAGAGAGAGAATTGTAAGGAAAGCACAGCAAGTTTTTAAAAGGCACTTTGGTAACGCCATATGTTTCTTCACACAACTTTGGCTTGAGCCCTGACAGTATAAAGGTTCTGGCCTGAGTTCCAGCCAACCCTGGCTCAAATTAAAAACGGGGCAAAGGAGAAGATCAGGCTATTCAGCCAGCCCTACACAGTATTGTTGTAAATAGAATTCCTGTTTTGTCTGTAGTCAGTTCGAACTTGTAAAGGGGCCCGAAAAACTCCTGTGTGACTCTTGCTACATAATCATTTGCACTTCTTTGACGTTTGAGGAAGCCAATAATAAAATTAATCTCCAATTTATTTCCCTGTTAGGTTTTTCCTTTTTCCTTTGAAATAGCTGTACTTTTAAAAAAGCTATGTTTCTTAGATCTCTCCACCCCCCAAATTTTTTAAAATAATGGGTGTACTACAGGCAATGACCATTTTGCATGGTTGTTGCATTCCTGATCCTTGCATGTGTTGCTGTAGAATATGTAAGTCCCCTTTTCCGGCCACTTATGGGTTGCGGTAATGCACATCTCACAGGAAATGAGAGCTGGACCATAAAGAAGGCTGATCGCCGAAGAATTGATGCTTTTGAATTATGGTGCTGGAGGAGACTCTTGAGAGTCCCATGGACTGCAAGAAGATCAAACGCATCCATTCTGAAGGAAATCAGCCCTGAGTGCTCACTGGAAGGACAGATCGTGAAGCTGAGGCTCCAATACTTTGGCCACCTCATGGGAAGAGAAGACTCCCTGGAAAAGACCCTGATGTTGGGAAAGATGGAGGGCACAAGGAGAAGGGGACGACAGAGGATGAGATGGTTGGATAGTGTTCTCGAAGCTACAAACATGAGTCTGACTAAACTGTGGGAGGCGGTGGAAGACAGAAGTGCCTGGCGTGCTCTGGTCCATGGGGTCACGAAGAGTCGGACACGACTAAACGACTAAACAACAACAACAATGCACATCTGTCATTGCTTGTACTAGGTTGCAATCATTATTGTGTGGATGCTATGCTGCTGCTGATGTATAAGTTGCCCTTCCGTTTTAAAAAGTGCTCAGAGTTGTGTGCATATATAACAAAACAAACATAATCTTACAACAAAGCTACTTTAAAACCAATACCACTAGCACAATTAGATGCTATACTGTACATTTCTACAGGCCTACTGGATTAGATATATTTTCAATATTTACTAATAAAAATAATATATAGTAGCATCTTTGGTCCTGAATGCAACATATTAGTATTCCAAAGCAAGCTGTGGATGTCTTCTAGCTCTTTGGTGTTTGTCTAGAACAGGGGTGGAGAACCTGTGGCCCACCAAATGTTGAGGTACAAGTCCCACCATCCCTGACCTTTGACCATGATGCTTGCGGCTGATGGGAGTTGTAGCCCAACAACCTCGGAAGTGCCACAGTTTTCCTGTCCTTGGTCTAGACTCTAGAGCATTTACAATTTTCTTTATCTCTTTTCTGGAATATTTTAAATTATGACATCTCAGAAAGGAAAATATTTTCACTGGCAACTCTCAACACATAGAATCTGGCTAAATCATCCCTTCAACTGTCCCATATTTTTTCAGGAATATGTA